GAGGGGGAAAAAGTGACTCAAATTCATGTAGTAACAAATTAAAAGGGGAAAATGACAATGTACCCAGCCGAAATCCAGGTCATCAATACCTACTTTGAAAAACTGTACTCTGATAAGATGGAAAATACAGAAGACATGGACAAATTTCTTGATACACATGAATTTCCAAAACTCAATCAAAAACACAAAAATTCTAAAGAACCCAGTATCAGACAATGAAATTGAAAATATATTTAAAAATTTACCTATGAAGAAAACCCAGGTCCTCATGCATTCAGTGCTGAATTCTACATGAAATTTAGAGAGGATCTAATGCCACTACTGATGAAAATCTTTAATGAAATTGAAACTCATTCCTAGAAGTAAATATTACCTGGATACCAAAACCAGAGAAAGGCACAATCGAAAAGAGAGCAACAAGCCAATCTCCTAATAAAGAGAGACACAAAAATCCTCTATAATATACTGGCCAAACAGAATGCAGCAAATCATCAAAAATATTCTTCACAATGGCCAAGTAGGTTTCATCCTAGGGATGCAGAGATGATCCAACGTATGCAAATCAATAAACATAATATACCACATCAATACAACCAAAGAAAAAAATCACATGATCATCTCAATAGATGCCAAAAAAGCATTTGATGATGTCCAACACCCACTCATGATAAAATCCTACAGAAAATAAGAGTACATGATCTTTATCTCAATTTGATAAAAGCTATCTATGAACAGCTAACAACCAATTTCTGTCTTTTTTAATGTATTTAGTATAGGGTTTACAGTGTCTCACTACACAGATCGGACACATAGTGATCCTCCTCTTTTCTGCCTCCCAAGGACTGTAATTCCATGCACAGGCCACCATGCCCAGTCTTGGTCTCTGTCTCAGTGCACCCCCAGGGGGGGACATAGCTCATCAGGGATCAAACCCTAGTCCCTGTGTCTGCCTAAGTAGGCACTTTAATCTGCTGAGCTATGTGGCTGGCCCGCCAAGTTCATACTGTATGGTCAAATGCTGAATATTTTGACTCTAAAATTAAGTGTAAGACAAGAATGTCCACCATCACCACTTCTACTTAATATAGTTCTGGGAACATTATTCAAAGAAATTAGAAAAGAGTGAAATAAAAGGGATCAGGATATGAAAGGAAAAGTTTAAATTATCATTATTTGCAGATGTCATCATACCCTACATAGAAGAACCAAAAAACTCCACCAAATGACCTTAAGATTTACTAACAGAGTTCACTAGGGTAGCTGGATACAAAGTAAGCCTCAAAAATTAATGGCATTCCTGCATACAAATAATAAAAACACTGAGGACAAACTTATAGAAACAGCATCTTTCACAAAAGCAAAAAAAAAAAAGAAATACTTAGGGATAAATCTAACAGAGGAAGGAAAAGATCTCTACATTGAAAATAACAGTTCTCTGAAAAAATAAGACAGACTAAAATGTCAGAAAATGGGAAGACATCTCTTATTCATGGGTAGGAAAATCCAACGTGGTAAAAATGGTCATGCTATTAAAATTGCTATATATCACAGAGAGCATATTGGTCAAGCCATGGCTATGACATTCACATGACTGACACTGACAAAGGATCTACAAACTGCAGTACAGGGTTTCTGGATAAATCCTGAGGGTATTTGACCTTCTCAGATACAAAAATTTCATTTCTTGTTATATAGGTCTTGCTTTATCTTGCTTAACCATCCAGCAGAAAAACATAACCATGAGGTATAAAAAGTAAAGCCATATTAATATGCTTAGCTATAAAAGGGCTCTGACATTGCCAGTCTTGCAGATAACCCACAACTATTATAGACTACTGAACTATATTGGATTACTTTGTTGAATTCATGCACCTACAATATATGAATGGCAATGGAATACCCATCTCTGACAAAAGTACATGAAAAAGGAGGATATAAATGAAGGTCCATCTGGTAGTGAAAAATATATATACATACACATATATATGTATATACAAAATATCATAGATACACAGCTACTTTCTCTTAGCTCAATTAGAAGAAAGTTTTGAACTAGTAGTGTTCAGACAAGATATCGTGTTTGCATCTTGTACTATGAATAACTACTACAAAGACAATATGCAATGTATGGATTATTGTAACTGTCCTAGTAAGCTGTTTCAAAACTGTCTCATTGCTACTTCTTTCTCAATAAAATTAACATAAAAATAAAGAAAAAGAAAAACAATAGCCAAATTAAACTTGTATAAATTATTTGATTATTCAATTTAGTACAAAGATAAGTGAAATAAAAAACAATCAACAAAAAATTACTGTACAAATTGAATACAATCCCAATTAAACCACCATTATTAACAACATTAAAGGGGACGACTAGATAGGTCAGCATACTAAAAGTGCCTGCTTAGGCAGAGTGTAGCAGCCAGGGTTCTATCCCCAGTGTGCCATGCTGGCCTGGCCCCCAGGGTGCACTGAGACAGTGCTTGAGACTGGGCATGGTGGCAAGAACCTGTAATCCCAGAACTTGGGAGGCTGAAAACAGAAGAATCACTATGAGTCCATTCTATGTGAGATCTTATAGACCCTTCAGACCCTGTACCAAATAGATGATAGATAGATAGATAGATAGATAGATAGATAGATAGATAGATAGATAGAGGAATCCTAAAATTCATTTGGAATAAGAAGAGATCTAGAAGAGCAAAAGCAAATTTCAGCAACAAAGGCAAGGCAGGGGCATCACAAGCCCTGACTTGAAATAATATTACAAAACCACTATGATAAAAGCATCATGGTACTGGCAAAGAAACAGACTTGAGGATTAATGGAATAGATTATAAAACGTAAGAACAACTCCAAGCATACTCTGTCAATTTATCATTGACAAAGTGGCCAAGTACCTTCACTGGAAGAGATAGCCTCATTAATAAATGGTGCTGGAAAAACTGGCTTTCCACATGTCAAAGACTAAACCTAGACCCATGTCTATCACCATACACTGAACTCAAATTGAAATGCATCAAAGATCTAAATATTGAAAGCACTAAATCTGCTGGAAAAGAGAATTGGTAGAACACTTTAAGACACAGGTGTAGGTCAACATTTCATGCACAAAATGAAGATTGCAATGAAAAAACTACAAAGAATCAACTGGAATCTCATCCTATTACGAAGGTTTTGCTTAGCAAAAGAAATTGCCAATGGAGTGGAAAAACAATCTATAGCATGGGAAATTTTTTAATCAGTTGTCCCTCAGACAATTGTCTAAAACTTAGAACATATAAAGAATTGAAAGGCTGGGAAGGAGCTCAGTGAGTCAGAGCTTGCCTGGTATGCAGAGGTCCAGAATTCAATCTCCAGTATCACAAAAAATTTTGTAAACAACATGAGACCCCGCCAAATTTGAATAGCAATCCAAAATTTGGTATCTCAGATGAATATATAATTCTGAGAAGAAAAAATACAAGAGGCCAATAAATATATGAAAAAAAAAGTTCAACATCATTGATCACTGGAGAGATGCAAGTTAAAACTACCTGAGAGTCCATCTCACCCCAGAAAGAATGGAAATTATCAACAAATCAACTAATGACAAATTCTAGAGAGGTTTTTGTGAAAAAGAAACCCTTCTCCACTGTTTGAGGGAGAATAGATTGGTACCACCACTGTAGAAATCAGCGTGGAGATTCCTAAAGAAACTAGGATTAGAGATCCCATTCCACCCAGCTCTTCCCCTTCTTGGTATCTTCCCAAAATAACTAAAAATATCATACTCCAGAGATATATGCACAGTCCTGTTTGCCACAGCACAGTTTTTAATAGCTAAATCTTGTGGGGAAAGCCCATATATATATCAACTGAAGAAAGGTTAAAAACAGATGTGCTTTTTTTAAACAATGGAGTGCTACTTAGCCATAAAGAAGAGTAAACTTGAGACAGTCCTACGTAAAGGCTCCTTGAGATCACATTCTTAAGTGAAATAAATTAAACATATGTGTAAATATCACATTGTCTCTTTGCAGTGAGAAAGGTTAAAATGGAAACAATGCTTTGTAAATGAGAAGAGGAAGGAAAGAGGGGCTGAAAGGAGGAAAGAGTATTGGGGAAAAAAGGAAGAGGAACCAATATCCATCATGTACAGTTATAAATTCCCTATGATCAATGCAATCATTATGTATATGTAAATTATAGCAATAAATTTAATAAAAATGGATACTTCCAGGTATCAAAATGAAATAAAACTAAATAACCAAAACTAAATTAAAATAAAAATATCAGCAAAAGATTTAATATCTAACAAAAGTCTTAATTGTGAACAATTTCACAACCATAGATATTTATATAAAACAAAAAAGGCTGAAAATAATTTATTGTGAAATTACCCTTTTAGTTAGAAGACTGACATGAAAAATTGAAGAGAGATACAATTAAGAACAGAAATCAATTGGCTAAAATCAAAGGTAAAATAGAGGACAATAAAATAAAACATTGTTTTTGGAGAAAAAACCAAAAAGATATCCAAGGAAAAATATGGGGCAAGACCAAATAATACTACAAATGAAAAGTCAATGTAACTACAGATGAAATTAGTCTGAAAAATTAATACCAATGATTATTTTGAAAGCAAAAATTTGAACACTTACATAAAATGAATGAATTTCTAGAAAAATGTAATTTGTGAAAACTTCCTCAAGAACCTTTTTTGTGAGCATTCTGGGGATTGAAATCAGAGTCTTCATACAGAGCTACATTGCCAAGATCTTTTTCATATTTAATTTTGAGAAAGTCTTGCTAAGTCTCTGAGGTTATAAGTATGAGACATGTCCAGAAAGAAGCAATTTTGAAGAACATGAAACTTTCTGATATGATTAATAAAACTGAAACTGGGGTTAATAATTTTTTCCATGTAGAAAAATTTAGACCCAAATGACTTTGTAGCAAGCCCACATAATTAAAAATGAGGAAATAGCTAAGCACTGACTTTTTTTCTCATTTTCTAGAACTCCTTGGAAGAGCCTGAAGGAGATGCTGATGACTTAGCATCTTCCCAGTTTTCTGCGAACACCTGCAGTCTGGCAAGTGGCCTGTCAACTGTAAGCAGTCTGGCACATGTAGCAATCTTCTTTTTCTCTTATTAATTATCTGTGCATGTCAGAAGAGCTATGCACGCTCTTAAGAAAATGTGTAAGGAGTGTAAAAGTCATTGTATGTTCCTGCTTAAATGCTTCCCACAGAATACTCTTCAGTCTAATTATGTGTGCACTTTTTCTAAGCTCCAAGTTCCTTCCTTTCTTCCTTCTTCCATGGCCCTTGCCTAGGTTTTATACATGTCCATTTCATGAACACCTACAATAAAGGTGTTTGAGTGCTCCCAACACAGAGAAATGATATTTGATTAAGGAAAAGGAAATGCTAATTACTCTGATTTCAATATTAAACATTGTATAACATGCATTAAATTATCAAACAATACCCTATAAGTATATACAATTATATATCAATTTAAAAATCAATTCATTTCTTATTTTATGCCCCAATCAATGCAAACCTGTAAATTAGTTCCATTTTCTGCTGATAAGCTTCCCTGACACCATTATTTCAACTCCCCAACTGTTTATGCTGCTGTTTATAATTTTCTTAAAACACTTACACCATCAGGTTTTTCTCCTACTTCAAAACTCTCCATAGCTTGCCATTGCCTATAGAATAAAGCACTTGCTTACTTCAGAGGCTAATATCCTCCCTGAGAGGAAGACTTTGACAGCATCCATTGGTCACATTCTTGTCACTGGGACAAAAAAAAGAACATTCACAATTTAAAGGAGTGGAGGTTTATTTTGACTCATTTTCAATCCACAGTAAGCAAGCTTCAACACAGAAATGGCATGGTAGAAGGACCTATGGGAAAGAAAGCTGCTTGCAGCATGCTGTCCAGAAAGGAGGAACAAAGAGAACCAAGAGGGAGATGTACCCTTGTAGGGCACACTCCCAATAATCCATCTCATCTGACCAGATCCCACATCTTAACCGAAAGTCAACTATATCTCTCCCAAGATTCAGTCATGTTCCCAAAGCCTCACTTATGAATACATGAGGTTTTTGAGGGACTTCTTGATTTAAATCAAAACATCTACCCCTGTACCCAAAATACTCATGCACATCTTTTTTTTTTTTTTTTTTTTTTTTTTTAACTGGGGATTGAACTCAGGCCTTTGCGCTTGCCAGGGAAGTGCTTATTCCACTGAGCCATCTCCCCGGCCACACATCTCTTTATGCAGAATATATTTATTCCATCTCCAAGAGTCCCTAAATTCTTAATAGTTATCACATTTCTGAAAAGTCTGAGTCTAAAGTATCCTCTGAGACTCATGCAAACTTTTACCTTGAGTCTCCATAAAAGTTCTAAACACTGCTAACATACAGTGATACAGGATAGGCATTCTTATTCCAGAAGGGATGAACAGGGTGATAGAAACCTTTGGGACTACAGCAAGACACAAACCTAACAAGGTAAACATTAAATCTCATAGTTCCAGGTCCAGCATATGAGACAGACTGTGGGGAGATCTGAACTCAAAGGTGTTTGTGTTGCTCTGTCCCTACAAGAATGCCAGTTGCAGCTCTCTTGGCATCTGTGTCCAGTTGGCTCTTCTTACTGCACTTTCAGTTTCCCACTCAGAAGCACACTGCAAGGTCTCCCAGGCCGTCTAAAATCTGTGTGTAAGCTTCTATGACCCTATAAATGTGGGACTCTACATGCCCATAAAAAAGCACCATGTGGATGATGATTCCAATTTTATATTTCTTCTATAAAGCAAGCAGTGATAGGAAAGAAACCCTGCCCTCCATCCCCAGCTGCTGCCTATTCTTCTGAAGAGTAATTCAGATTGACTGGAGGAGAAAAGAAAAAATCCTAGGAATGGGGTGATGCCAAGTTCTAGTATCAACTTAGGCCCCTTGAATGCTGGCTGCAGAGGTGTCTGAGTGCCTGGATGGCTAAGCACTATGAAACAGAGCTGGGGCTGGGGGGACAATTCTTAAGCTCTGTGCCTTGAAACCCTCTGCTCAGAGCAAAGCCTTTCACTTTTGTAGCTTTGAGCCTGTGAAGGACAAGGTCTTGTTGATTCCTGGTATGCCCTCAAAGGAACTGTCTTGATGCAAAGCACTTGACTTCTTTTTAATGCTAATCTTTCCAGCAACTAAGCTGTGCATGGCCAAAATCTTGCACTCCCTAACATTATGGGCCACAGTTCTACAGGACCTTCCTCTATGGCCAACAGCAATATTTTTGAAATTGTTTCTGCTTTTTAGTCCTGTTTTCCATGATAGATATATCTAAAACTACCAGTAAGAGTCATGCAACAATGTCCCCACTGGGCTTCCTTAAAATTTCCTCTACCAGACTAATTAGTGTGTTTATCTCAATTACTCTTCTCTCTTTGCTGGGACAAATACCCAACACTCAAAATAAAGGAAGGAAAGGTTTATTTAGCTCACAGTTATTGGAGGTTTCATTTCATACTCAGCTGACTCCAAGGCAGAGTGGCACATGGTTGAGAGAAACTTTTCATGGTGATGGCAAAGAGCAAGAGCAAAATGGAGGAGTAGCCCCAACAGCAGCAAGAGAGAGCAAGTCTGCCTCCCTAAAATTGTATTCAGGCTGTATGCCCCATGCTGGTATAGTATTCAAACTCATAATCCCAACAGTACTAAGACCCATGATCCCAGCCTTGATCATGAATTAATCTCAAACTCTAGAAGTCCCCACCCTATACCTGCATGAAGCTTTAGGGTACAACAAGACACAAACTATAACAGTACTCTACTTAATCTAACTCTTTTTCAGGGTCTCAGGACATGAGCAAGTGTATACAAGTCTGCCAGAGCATAACACACAAAATTTCGAGTCCAACTCCCAATAGAGACCCTGTTCTCAACTGAAACCTCCTGAGTTCTCAGCTGAAACCTCCTGAGTTAGGTCTTTACCATCCACATTTTTGACAGCATTCTGGTTTTCTGAGATGCTTCTTCCATAACAACCAGGAAGCTTCATGGGAGAGAAGAAATGGGGAGAGTGATATACCCTTCCAGATCATGATTCCAATGACCAAGCTCTAACCAGATATCACCTCCTCACACAAAGTCAACTCTAGCTCCACCATTATCCAATCACTTTCCATAAGCCACAACTATGAAACATGAGGTCTTTGGAGGAACATTCTCCATCTAAATCATAGAAAACTCCTTTGTCCTTACATTTATGCAGGCACTCACATGCCTTTTTCCTTGCTTTTCTAATTTCTGTTGCTCTAATGCCTTTTCTCTTTTGATCTTTGGATGACTTCTTTATAGAATTCTCAAGCAGGCTCTGACAGGAAGTGGACCTATCTAAGTGTGCCTGATGCTGACTCAGACACTGTGAGTTTTGAATTCTGCTTTTTCCTTCTTTTTTATTATACTTCACAAGTTTCATGGTTTGGGAAATTTGATTAGGTGGGTAATACTTTCAGCTCTTTTTTGACTTGTATACAGTTTACCAGAGCTTCTTCTGAAAGGACTAAAGAGTCTATCAGAACTCAAACATTCATTAAACAGTAGAAGCAGAGCTCAGAAGACAAGTCAAAAGACACGTGATACAAAATGGTTTATCATTAACAAGACCTTTGAAGTACACATCTATATTTTATGTCATAGCTTTGGCTTGGTTAAAAGCATAAAGTTTGATGAGTGGTAAAATTAGTAAAACTGCCTTAAGTTCTCCAAGCCTCAGCATCTGTGGATTTTTAAATCCTCTATCCATTAAGTCTCCTGCTTACAATGAACACTATGATGATATGGCTATAGAGAAATGTGGTGAAATCACAAGGAGATTATGAAATGAGTTGAGAGGCTCTCTGACTAAAAACCTGCAATCTCACTTTATGTGTTGGCATTGGAAGTAGTGTGTAGAAACCAGTTATCTCCTATGTATCATAGAGAGTGAGGCTTATTTGTGAAGTCCTTCACAGTCAAAGCGTGTTCTGTGGACCAACCATATTCCATAACCTAGGGCAAAAACTTTAAAATCCTCTCAGTTCATAAAGCCCCTAGAGCAGTGGTGGCTAACATATGGAATATGGGTTGCAGCATGCCGTTTGTATCATCAAGCACTGTAAACAATTCACTATCACTGACACAGAGTCTTGGCAATTCACGGTACACCTAGGCCAAAAAGGGATAATTGACTAGTCAGTTTATTACATTGTTAGGTTCTAATAGCTTAATAAAGTTTTGTATCCTAACTACTTTACAGCTATTTGAAGAAAATAATATAGGTAAATTTAAATTAAAGTTAAATTTTATTCCATTCTTAAATAGCCTTTATTATTTACTAGTAAAATATACATGTCTGTTGAACTCTACCTGGCTTCTCACATCGTAGAATCTGATTGGATATCACCACATTTCACATTGGTTTTATGAAATATTTGTTTTTTGTTGCAGAATCTGCCAAACACTCTGCTTTGCACAAGTAGAAATTTGTTGGAAAAAGAACATTGTGATTTTAGTGATGTTACTGGAAACTACTTGTTAGAATTTACATGGTATCTGTTAAATGTTACGGTACTATCCTTTAAAATTTAAAATATTTTATCGTGCTCCCATGAGCTTGTTGTGGTGTTCTAGGATACTGGAACTAAATGCTTAAGAGTCTGATATATAACTATTTATTCAAAAAACATTATCTTAGACCTCACACTGAAATGAATCATTAATCAGAATCTTCAGTTTACAAAGATCCCCAAGTGATATACACACAGTTAAAGTTTGAAAAGCCCTATTCAAAGCCAAGAACTTGCTGGGCATGAATATGACTTTGCTTTTGGAATAAGAAAGACAAATTAGCTTGCTCACTGGCTATTTTTAAGTTGTATTTTCCAAATTATTTTGGAGTTCTTGGTTTCTTCTTGTCCTTAGCTTAAGCTTAGAAAGGACATGAGCTATATCTCCCTCATCCTGTCATGTAAAGTCTCTGGGCAGGAGCCGGGGAGATGGCTCAGTACAATAAGTGCTTGCCTGGCAAACACAAGGTCCTGAGTTCACTCCCTGGTACTGCAAAAAATAAATAAATAAATAAAGTCTATAGGCTGAGCATGTGGAGTAACGTAACACTTATGCTGAAAAATTAAAAACTGTAAATGTGCATGTTTGTGTGTGAGCGCATGAGTGAAAGTGAAATCTAAGGTCCTGCTGTATTCAACATCATAGTCCTTGCTTCTCAGTGGTTCATGGAAAGGTTATATAATTATTGGATAACTAATTAAAAGCTTTATATGATCTTCATGATTATCACTGATTTTGATATAGTCATATCACGAAAGTACAGAACTTTGCTTGTGGTACTAAGGGATAATTTTATTACATTTAATTAAAAATGTCTCATATAATTAGTGTCTCATCAAAAGCTTTATTCATTGTAGTATACTTGGATTTTTAGAAACTATTATAATTTGATTGAGATATAAATTTATTGTTTAGTTTTATATCATGTATTGCTATTTCACAAAAATTGCCTTACAATATCGGTACCTATATACATACTATGTGTGATCACACCAGATTCAGTTGAGAAATCACAGCAGCTGTGGGCCTGTGATGCTCTTCTTGGGTATTTTTGCTGGAGCTGCACTTATGGCTCCCCCTACACTGATGGATGCTCCTTGTGGTGTCAGAGAGAGAATATTAGGCCCCTACGAACAAACTCAACTATCTTATCTTTAACAAAGGGGCCAAACATACTCACTGGAAGAAAGATAGCCTTTTTAATAAATGGTGCTGGAAAAACTGGCTCTCTACATGCCAAAAACTCAAACTTGACCCAGGTCTATCACCACACACTAAACTAAAGTCAAAATGGATTAAAGATCTGAACATTAAAGCAGAGACACTAAATCTTCTGGAAAAGAAAGTGGGAGGAACTCCTGAAGACATAGGGGTAGGCAAAGACTTCACGAACAGAAATCAAATCACACAGGAAACAGTTCAAAGAACTAAGAACTGGGACCTGCTCTTCCTGAGTACTTTTACATCAAAAGAAATTACCAACAAAGTGAAAAGGCAACCCACAAATTTGGAAAATATCATGACAAATAAGCACTCAGACAAAGGTCTGCTCTCTAGAATTTATAAAGAACTAAAAAACACTAGGCCCCAAAATTTAAAGACCCAATCCAGAAATGGGCAGCCGAGATGAACACATGCTTCTCAGAGGAAGAAATTAAAGAAGCAAATAAATATATGAAAAAATGCTGCACATCACTAGCCATCCGCGAAATGCAAATTAAAACAACATTGAGTTACCATCTCACCCCAGAAAGAATGGCTATCATAACGAAATCATCCAACAACAAATGTTGGAGATGCTGTGGGTTAAAAGGAACCCTTCTCCACTGCTGGTGGGAATGTAGACTGGTGCAAC